GGGCGTCTGCTTCTCCCTCTGACCCTCCTCCCTCTCATGCTCTCTGTCTCTCATTCTCTCTCTCTCAAATAAATAAAATCTTAAAAAAAAAAAATCATCTCAGATTCTTAATGTAGCTATTGACAGCTCCATTTTATTGTTGAAAAAACTAAGGCTTAAAGAGAACAGACTTGCCCAAGGTCATAGAGCAGTACGTGGAAGACCTGGTTCAAGATTCGAGAGCATCTGGTTCCAAAGCTTGTACTCTATCTACTACCTTCCCACCCCATCCCCTTCTTCCACCTGTAGCCCATCCTCTCAATACCAAACCTCTCCTAACACATCCACACATGCATGCACACACCCATACACACCCACCCCTAGGAAGGGAACTTACCTTTACTTTTGGCCTGTATCTCAGGTAAAGAGTTCTTGTATATAAACTGAAAGAAAAGGGGAGGGGGGGAAAGCTCTTCAGATTAATTTTTAATTCATACAAACTTTCTTACTGACAAATTTAACCATAGTGCCTCTGTATACACACAAAAAAAGCAATCCTAGTAGATTCTTTGTTCATTTAGCAACCTTTTTTTTTTTTTAATTTATTTATTTCAGAGAGAGAGAGAAACAGCATGAGAGGGGAGAGGGTCAGAGGGAGAAGCAGGCTCCCCGCTGAGCTGGGAGCCTGATGTGGGACTCGATCCCAGGACTCTGGGATCATGACCTGAGCCAAAGGCAGTCACTTAACCCACTGAGCCACCCAGGCGCCCAGCAACCAGTTTTTGAGCAGCTACTCTATGCAGAACACTTGGTAACATGGTAAGGAAGACAGAAATGAATACTCGGACTGTGACCTCAGGATGTTTGTAGTTTAGTAGGGAGCACTCCACTCATACTTGATGATTCATATCATAATTGCCAGTTTCATGTTTGAAGATAATGGTAGCAAGGATTAAAGTAGAGTATTCTTAGAATGTTTTGGAAGTAGTTATATCAGCTCTACAAGGATTACAATACAGGTATGAGATAATCAGGAAGGTAATGAAAGTCTTCCTCACAGGAGCCTTTAGAATAAGTAACTTCTGAAGATGAGACTGGATTCTAAATCAGTGCATATGGCAAGTAAATCACTTGGCTCAAGATTGTTACACAGTTACGAAGTGATGGAGCAAAGTTCCAAGGTCAGATATTTTTACTTCCCTGTTTGTTAACTCTGTTTGAAACAAACATTTGTATAGTACTTAAGTCTTAAAAGGCACATGTGTTATATTAAATTCTCAAATCATCCCTCTGAAATATTATTTCCATGCTTCATTCAATGAGATACCCAAAGAATCAAAATTTCCACAACTGAAGCTTGAATATCCAAGCTTCTTTTATTTTAGTTATTTAGGATGAAATATGTCTAAAACATATTCTATCTTCTCTGCCGCCTTAAAAAAAAAATCAAAGTAAAACATTTTAACATTAATAGAAAACAAAACAAAAAAAGTAAGTCAAAACCCTGCCACCGAATATAGTCAAAATGCTTCATTTTTTTTCTGTATTTACTTTAACCCTTGTCCCCATACAAATTAATTTTACACAGGGTTAATAATTACCTACATATGATTTTAGTCTGTTTGTTTCATTTAAAAATCCAAATAATCCAAATATTTTTCTATGTTGTTATAAAATTTTCACATTTATAATTTTAAATGGCTGAATAAAAGATATACTGTAATTTATAATTCTACCCTATTAGGTAATTTATTTTTCTTCTATCATTATTGTTGCTTTGCTAATTAAGTAACACTGTAATAAACATATTTGAGTTTACACACACATTTTCATCTTCCTTTTTCTTTAGGATAAATTCCAAGGAATATAATAACTGGGATAAAAAATATAAATATTTTATTTTCACAAACACATGTATCGAATTTCTTTCCAAATGGGTTACATCAATTTACACTGACAAGTAATGTGTGATGATAGCATTTCACTGCAATGAAAGAATACAGAAGGAAATTTCAAAATACTATAGAGCTCACTTAATGGATATAAAAAATATCTCATTGTTTTATTTAAAAATTTTTTTAAAAATAGGTAATATAATCATTTGTTAAAGATTTGGAAGAGTACATAGGAAAAAGATCTGTCTCCTACCTGGTACCTTTAGCCCAGAGAGAAATGCTAGTACTTACCAGTTAACATATACCCTTACAAAGATAATTATTTATGAGCATATATGTATATTTAGCCCTCTCCTTTTTACAAACATGAATAGCCTACTGTTTTAGAAGGTATTTTGATTACCAGTTAGATGATCAGTTTTCTATTTGCTTATTTACACTAAATATCTCAACCCCCTCACCCCCACCATCATCTGGAGGTGATGTTCCTCATCATACTCCCATCTATCAGCCAGAGCATCCATTGATAAATAATACATATCAACTATCTCTAAGATGGTTGCCAAATGGTGTCATATCTTCCCCTCTCCTTTTTTATTTTTTTAATTTAAAAATGGTTTCAAACTTACAGGAAAGTTGCAAGATTGATATGAAGAATTCCTATATCCCCATCTCCCAGATGCCAAATTGTTATCATTTAACCACATTTGTTTTGCACACCCACACGTGTATATATTATAGAGTCTGAATGACATGATGCCCATCACCTCTAAATATTCCAATGTGTATCACCATAAAACAAGGACAGTGTCCTAAATTACTATAATACAACCCTTCCACTCAGGAAATTAATACAACACTAACATCCAACTCAAGACTTCATTCCAATTTTTTTTTTAAAGATTTTATTTATTTATTTGACAGAGAGAGACATGCGAGAGTGGGAACACAAGCAGGGGGAGTGGGAGAGGGCAAAGCAGGCTTCCCGCTGAGCAGGGAGCC